CAGTCATCAAGTTTAGTTATTTGCGAGTACTTACTAATCTAAGGACAAAGTGATGGACAACAGTCACCAAGTTATAGGATAAGATGTTGGAAACAGTCACCAAGTTATCGTTGAGTACTTACTAATCTGAGGACAAGATTATGGACAACAGACACTAGGTTATTAGTGAGTACTCACTACTCTGAGGATAAGATTTTGGGCAACAGTCACAAGGTTTAGCTATTGGTGAGAACTTACTAATTTGATGACAAGATCATGGACAGCAGTCACAAAGTTTAATTGTAGGTAAATATTTACTAATCTGAGGATAAGACGATAGACAACAGTCACCAAGTTATCGGTGAGTACTTACTAATCTCAGGACAAGATGATGGAGAACAGACATTAGGTTAGTTATTGGTGAGTACTTACTAATCTGAGGACAAGACGATGGACAAAAATCACCAAGTTTAGTTATTGGTGTGTACTTACTTATCTAATGACAAGATTATGGACAAAAGTCACCAAGTTTAGTGGTGAAAACTTATTAGTCTGATGACAAGAACATGGTCAACGGTCACAAACTAGTTATTGGTGAGTAGTTAGTAATCTGAATTCCAGATGATGGAAACAGTCACCAAGTTAAGCTAGTTATAAGTACTTACTATTCTGAGGACAAGATGATGGACAGCAGTCACCAGGTTCAGTTATTGGTGATTCACAAGGTAAATCTCTTATGTCACATTGCACTCTAGAACATTTAACCAGTGTATTATCACAAGAACAGTTCAAACAGGAATTATAGGTTGGTGTAAAAGTGATTCTATGTTTATATAATCTTCCTTCATAATCACAATCTATAAACAGGAAGATAAAATTCAAATACACCTTTAAAACCACAATTCCAAGGACAATTTCTAAAACCTTAATATTGTTAACACTGAACCATCCTCTGAAACATAGGATGTAACACAAACTTCTGTAGCACAGTTGTCAAGTTATCAGATCAATGTTATAATGAAGATTTCTCTTCCATTATAATTCCTGGTAAAATATCTCAATGCACACTAGGTTGTAAGAGCCCAATCTTGAGCAAAAAAATGAGACATTAACGTCATTTCTCTTAATCCTTAATTCTCTAAACCAAACATTTCATTGATCACGTAAATATATTTATACACTTACCATTATCACAGGATGGACAGCACTGTCCTGGAGGGGTAACAGGATTTCTACAAGTTAAAGGAGCACATTCTGGTGCTTGACATTCTACATTTCCTTGGTAACATTTACATACTGTACATTCATCAGCTTTAAATCTTTGATCATTCTGATAGAGATCACCTTGATAAAAACATCCTAAAAAACACAAGTATATCCTGGAAATTAAAAAAAAATCCAAGCCAAGCAGCTCACACTTTCACTGATAGTGATAATCAGGTAAGGGGAACTTAATACACAAACATACCATTCCAAAAATGAAAATCATAATTAGACCTTTAGTACATTATACAGTACATTCTTGCATTCTAAGAAAAAGAAAGACAATTTACCATCACAAACAGGGCAACAAGAACCTTCTGGTGTATAAGGATGGGCACAGTTTGGTACATCACATTCTATCTGTTCACATCTTGTTTCACCACTCTACAAATATAGTTTCAGCTATCATGGTTGTTGTTTTAATTCAAACTTGTTTATCAATCTTTACTAACCCAACATAACTTTTTACAGAATTAATTGAGAAATGGATATTAATAACTAATTACTACCACTGTATTAATATTTGAAAATACATAATGGTGTAACTAACCTGACAAACACAGGACTGACAAGGTGAGGGATTCCACTGTTCATCATTAGCATATGGTCCACAATCTATACAAACTGGACAGCATTCATTTGGTGGTATAATTCTGTCTGACAATTTTCTATAGGTTGACAAGGTATAGCTCGACAGGTAACATTTCCTCTCATACAATCACACACAGAACACCTATCTGTTTCTAGTCTAAATCTACTTCCAGTTGGTACAATTTTACCATCAAAATCACATCCTGCTATAAAAAGTAACATTTCAATCTAGTATGCTTACAGTAAACATTATATTGGTACATTATATATTAACTAATAACATTTATACCTGAAACTTACAGAACAAGTAGGTAACTATGAAACTTACAGAACAAGTAGGTAACTATGAAACTTACAGAACAAGTAGGTAACTATGAAACTTAAAGAACAAGTAGGTAACTATGAAACTTACAGAACAAGTAGGTTACTATGAAACTTACAGAACAAGTAGGGAACTATGAAACTTACAGAACAAGTAGGTAACTATGAAACTTAAAGAACAAGTAGGTAACTATGAAACTTACAGAACAAGTAGGTTACTATGAAACTTACAGAACAAGTAGGTAACTATGAAACTTACAGTACAAGTAGGTAACTATGAAACTTACAGAACAAGTAGGTAACTATGAAACTTACAGAACAAGTAGGTAACCAATTTTTTAATACCAGAACATGTCCAAGTAAAATTGCTCCTAAACCAAAGATATTTTTTCTCAACATTTGTGTTTTCTGATAAATGTAAAATTCAGTAGGTAATTGGAATATACAAGTAAAATGACAATATACATACCATCACAAGAAGGACAACATTGATCCTGTAGTCTTATAGGATGTTGACAATATATTGATGGACAAATAATCTCTTCACATAATATCATACCATTCTATAATAAACAACCATTAACCTTATAAATTAAAGGAGCAGTCTGATTTTTATCTCAGGTGAAAAAGTAAGGTGCTCAAATTAATGAAAACTATACACCAAATTCTAGAGATATGTCTCTTTTACCTTATCTGAAAATTTTAACTAAAAATATCATGCTGTTGATTTTTATACGCCCACATGGAAATGTGGACGTATATTGCTGTCGCCCCTGTCCGTCCGTTTACATTTCTTGTAGGCGCGATAGAGGCTACAGTTTTTATTTGATCTTTATGAAACTTGGTATGCATGTATATATTTATGAGATCTCGGTCAAGTTCGAAATTTGCAATAATCGGAAAAACTGTTTCAGAGTTATTGCCCTTGATTTAGTAAAAACATCTCAAATTTGGCTTGTAAGCACGATAAAGACTAAAGTTTTTATCTGATCTTGATGAAACTTGGTATGCATGTATATACTGATGAGATCTCAGTCAAGTTCGAAATTGGTAATTATCGGATGAACTGTTTCAGAGTTATTGCCCTTGACTTAGTAAAAACACATCAAATTTGCCTTGTAGGCATGATAGAGACTACAGTTTTTTCCGATCTTCATGAAACTTGGTATGCACGTATGTATTGATGAGATCTCAGTCAAGTTCAAAATTGGTAATAATCGGATGAACTATTTCAGAGTTATTGCCCTTGACTTTGTAAAAATGTGTCAAATTTGGCTTGTAGGAACGATAGAGACTACAGTGTTTTCTGATCTTGATGGAACTTGGTATGCATGTATATATATTGATGAGATCTCAGTCCAGTTCGTAATTGGTAACAATCGGATGATTGGTTTCAGAGTTATTGCCCTTGACTTAGTAAAAGGTATCAAATTTGGATAGTAGGCACGATAGAGATTACAGGTTTTATTCAACCTAGATGAAACTAGGTATGCATGTATATATTGATGTAATCTCAATTGAGTATGTAATTGGTTACAATGAGATGAAGGGTTTCGGAGTTATTGACTTAGTTAAAACTTGTAAAATTCGGCTTGCAGGCACGATAGACTACAGTTTTTATCCAATCTTGATGAAACTAGATATGCATTATGAGATCTTGCTCAAGTTAGAAATTGGTAATAATCGGATGAACAGTTTCCGAGTTATTGCCCTTGTGAGTAAAGCGATGAGACATTGTTCATGTTTGAATTTGATGATAACTTGATGAACTGTTTCAGGTTTTTGCCTTGACTTACAGATGACTTTAAGATTATTTGAAAATTCATTAAGCCACTAAAGGTTTTGTTATCATTTCTGATAGCTGGTAGTGAGCGTATGTTACCTTGCCTGGCAAGCTATCTTTTAGAATGCCAAACTATTTCAGAGATTTATGTAAATGTTTTGGTAGGTGGTGGAAACCAATTTACAGATTCAAGCAAAATAAATGCCAAATTGTAGAGAAAATTGTCACCAACTTATTCTGAAGGTTTCAACTAAACATGTCAAGCCCTTTAAAACAAGTTCAGGCTGTTGAAATAGATACTTCACAAGGTTTTGTCTAAATCTGTCCAGAAGTGTGTTCAGAGTGATTACAACCAATTGTGGATGGACAGACTTTCCAACGGACATGGGTGACACCAATATACTCTCCTCATCTAAAAAGGTCAGCCTATAATCTAGAAATCTTTGCGTAGTAGCATTCATTATCAATGACACAATTTTCTAAAAATTTTCTAAGCAGAGAACATAAAAATGATAGTTTTACCTCACATCCACAATTATCACACACAGAGTTCTTCCATTCTTCTCCATCATATTTCTCTACACCTTCATATGTTGTACAACCTATAACATAGTCATATACAGTATACATTATATAACATTAAATAGGCCTGTTCATCAATCATGTTTATAGTATATCATTGAATAACAAATCACAAGGAAAAAACTGCCCAGAAACTGCCAAGCTTTACAATCATTTAGGAAAACTTATTTTTTCAGTTGAAATGCCAACTGTGCAGATATGAGCAGGTATCATGCCTCCCACTTAACACACATAAAAAATGCATTTTCATTTTTTGAGGATATGCCTACCAGTTAATTAAGATAAAAAGCTCTATAGTTTAAGTACATGACTACTTGACAATTGTCATATGAAACACAAAATAAAAAATATAGCAATTACCTGTACAATTCAGTAACTGTCCAGTGATACCATCATACCATTCATGATAACAACTATCACAATTACTGGTTCTACATACAGCTGTTGGATGTCCTGATAACAGAAAAATATTAACATTTATCACAATTACTGGTTCTAAATACAGCTGTAGGATGTTATGATAAAAGAAAAATATTAACAACTATCACAATTTCTAGTCCTAAATACAGCTGTAGGATGTCATGATAACAGACAAATATTAACAACTATCACAATTTCTGGTTCTAAATATAGCTGTAGGATGTCATAACAGACAAATATTAACACCTATCACAATTTCTGGTCCTAAATACAGCTGTAGGATGTTATGATAACAGACAAATATTAACAACTATCACAATTTCTGGTTCTACATAAAGATGTAGGATGTCATAACAGAAAATATTAACAACTATCACAAATGCTGGTTCTACATACAGCTGTTGGATGTCCTGATAACAGGAAACTATTAACAACTATCACATTTACTGGTTCTACATGCAGCTGCAGGATGTCCTGATAACAGAAATATATTAACTACTATCACAATTTCTGGTTCTACATTAAGACTCATTTACAGAAGGATGTACTAACCTGGACATGTTCTTGATTTACATAAATCTTCTTCACATAACACTGGTACTTGTCCTATTTCACAATTACTAAATACTTGACTGACTAAACATAATCTGTAACAACAATAATCAAAAATATATCCCAGTCATAAACTTTTGCACGAAACAGAAAAAGAAAAGTACACCATCTCAATTAGAATCAAACTGTAGACGAGCAACAAGTAAACATTATACTTAAGACACATACCATTTGAATTTACTTTTTCATTAAGCATATCTCAAAATAAAACACCAAAAAACAGTATATTACCTGTCATCAGGGGGTGTTGGTGACCACACCTTATCATCTTGTGTATTAGGATCTCCATTTCTTGTGAAATCTATTGTTTCAATTATAGCTCTTTGATTATTGCGTTTCAACCAGTTACTGTTCAATTGCCATTCTTCTAATTCTGATACAGTTGGACATGGTCTGTTTGTGTTGATTAAAGTTTCATCATCTAGATTCTTCAACTTGTCTTCTACATACTGTTTAACTAACATATACATTGGTCCAAGATAATAATAATTACATTTCATCTTATCTAACCCATTAATATCAAAACCATACGCATCATAGCCATCACGATCAAAACCTTGTTTATTGTAACCATATTTATTGAATCCAAACGAGTCATACACATCTACATGTGAAGTGACAATATTCATATTAGTTGATCCATTTTGATAATATCCAGTACTAGATAATCCATCTTCATCAAATCCATATCTATCAAATCCAGATCTATCATAACCTTGATAATTATATCCATCTAGATTGTATGAATCCACATAAAAACCATCCCTATCAAATCCACTACTATCATATCCATCACGACCATAGCCTTGTCTGTTATAGCCTGTATTATCATAGATATTTCTTGTATCAAACTGACCATTTATACTTATTCCTGTCATATCATAACCATCCTTATCATACCCTGAACTATCATAACCATGCCTATCAAAACCATTCTCATCATACCCGTAATGTCGAATCTCAGTAATATTACATTGACTTCCTTTAGTAATATCAATATATTCTACACACATTTGTAATTTTGATTCCATAACCTCATCAGGTGTTGATTTAAATGGTACCATAGGAATAAATAATGCCTGTCTGGGGTACTGTAATAAACCATCTGTATATTTCAACTGCCAGTCATTCCATAGTTTATCAATATAGGCCATTAGGGAGAAATATAAAGGATCATAAGGTGCATAGTCACTAGCCATATGACCACCAACAAATCCTTGATATAACTTAGCAAATATCTCCATTCTTATTCTAAAGTGTTCATATATAGGTTCATTCAGGGCTAGTTGTACATGAACAGCATCAGGTAAATGAACACTGGTGTTAAACTGACGTCGTAAACATGGAGACCAATATGGGGGATAAAAATGTTTAAATGGATGATGTCTTACACAGCCAGTTGTTCCCATTCCATTACCACCAAACATATTGGCAGACCAAATGATAGATTTACTAGGATTTCCTACATCTACTGTCCAATCATAATATGGTATAGAGATACTGCAATCTTTATCTTGTAGACGGCGTTCAACCAGACGCAGAAAATATCGATTCCATGGTAAAAATAAGTTGGTACCAACAGCTTGTGGTTTATGATTGGCATACATCGATGCAAATTCAAACCATTTATTCACAAGAGTGCTTTCAGTGTTGAGCTGTAATGATTCAATAGCTTCCTGGTAGATCTTTAACTCATTATCTGACATATCTCTTACATCTACTCTGTACACCGGCATCTCACACTGACACGACACAGTACCAGTGATAGTACATCGACACATCTGACATCCGATTTTAAACTGATCACCTATTTTATATGATCTATCATCATAAGTACAACCACACATACTGCTACAGTTAGTTTGGTCACATGATTGACCTATACTGTATTTGACTATCTCCGTCTGCCCATCTCTTTCTAAACTTTGACATTTATCCATAGTCATTGGTTGACAGGAATATTTATAAGCAGCTGTTGCTTTGTAAGCATTTAATCCTAATCTGTTTATACCAAGGCAGGAAAATCCAGCTCTAAAAGATGAAAAACATTACCTCTCATGAAAAAAATAATATCTAGAAATGCTTTCCAAACATCAATATGAAACAAATTCCCATTTTCTGCTTTATTCATTTATACACTTACAGATTAGAAATTTCAGAATAGTTGGATGTAAAACTAACTTTGGTCAGAAGAAGTGTTTTATAATACCTGTTAAAACCATCCATATCAAATCCCATCTGATTATAGTCTATAATACCATCAAATTCTCCAAGAGTACTATAACCTGTAGCATTGAAACCTTCTCGGTTAAAACCTTGTCTGTTATAACCAAACCTATTATAACCTTCTAAATCATAACCTTCTCTGTCATAGCCTGAAAAAACAAAATCATTGGTCAATTGGTATCATGGAAAACAAATCAATTATCAGTCTGTTGAAACTAAATAAACCATTCTTGATGTTTAATTCTTGCAGAATTTAAAGCTAGACAAACAATGTCAGATAGACATGATAAGAATTCTATTTTTGTATATAACAAGTTTATAATAAAGATAATGTACCTTGCCAATCTAAACCACCCTGTCCAAATCTCTCTTCACCAAATTCAGTAGCAGTTTGAATAGTGACTCTATCACCAGCAATGTTAGTACCAGTTACACTGTAACCATACCTACAAACATACAAATATCATTGAATTATTGTTGTTAGGATATCTTCTTTATTAGTTTGTCATCTACATTTCATGGTTTAATATCTTCATGGTTATTTTATTGTGCATTATTTCTTGGAACCCATATTTCCTCATTTCAATTAACATGACATTAGCAAACTGAAAAAGTCTATATCCATCCTTATTATGATTGAAGGGACAGATGCGGCATTTTGATTTTAGTGTTGAATATATGTAATTAGTCTTCAGAAGTACTTTTCTACATATCACAGTGTGGCTTAAAATGACAAATCGTCATTTTAACATTCAAACACAGATAATTCTGTACACACATGAATTTGAAGGTTCAATTTTTGACGGCGAGCTGTGAGCACTATTACTGATTAGTCCCTTTAAGTAATTTTCTTTTAAAAAATTAATACATGTCAACTTACTTATCAAAGCCTTGTAAACTGTAACCAATGACTTTCTTTTTAAACATAGGTTCTCTATAACAACATGCACCAATAACACATCTATTCTGACAGGCTTCAACTGATAGGAAATTATTTGAGTTTCCTTGACAACCAGAATAGATAAATTCTTCACAAGTTTGTTGTTTATAATTATATCTCCATCTTGTTTCTCTGTTATTACATGAACCTAATATTGAAACATATTGACCCTATTAAAAATGGTTTGTAATCCCTCCTAATTTCTTACAAATTTTGAAAATATGACTTTTATACAAGCTCAATTGGAGACTAGTGACTATGGCACTTCCACAGAGCTGCTGCATTTTTAATCCAAACCTCATGAAAAGACCACTCATTAAGTCTGTCTGCTGTATATAGTTAGCATGCAATACATATTATATTTTCTCTCTGTTCCAGATCAAGATTTTAATGACAAGTCCTCTGAAATTAAAAACAGTCATAAATTTAATAGTTTTATTCACCTGTATCCAGTGGTAAGCTACAGATATCAACAGCCAGATATTGACATAGATGACCATCATAACCTGGTGGACAGATACATGTCACTAAAGATGGATCTTTAGACCATACAGAGGGTACACAGGTACCACCATGTTCACATGGATTAGGATCACAATAATCTGAAAGATAAACCAATCATATTGTTCAATACTGATGAGATCATATACAGGTACAACCATGGTGACAAGATAAAAATTAATCTGAAAAATAAATCAAATACAACTTAATGAACTTTAATTCAATAATAATGATGTTGTAGCACAATGTTCACAATAATCTGACAAATAATCATGTTGATTCTCTCGATTGTACACATGCTATAAAAATATATATAAAATAACCTCCCAAACAACTTATGTTTCATCAAGACATTGTACATATACCAACATAAGCAAATACAGATTGTCTGAGGTACCCTACCTACCTCTTACTGAATTACAATCTATCTCCATATCTCTAAAATACCAAGTTGCTTTACAGTCACCACAATAACTAAAATGACAAACAGCTTCAGGATATGAAGAACAAGTATCTGTTAGGCAAGGATTCACTTCACAGCTTGAACTAGGATCAGCTTGACAAGCACATGGTGAGAGTATAGACTCTGTTTCAATACAGAATTTACTGGATGATAATGTCTGCAGAGGCTTTACTTTTGTGGGTACCATATCTACAATATATAATAATGGAATTGAGATTGTGTCTTTAGTCTAAAAATGACACGCAAATTCATTTCAAATTCTTTTATTTTCAGCTTGAAATAAAATTACATGGCAACATGGGCAAGTTATAGAAATCACGTCTAATAATAGTAAATGGAGACTTACTAGTAACATCTTTAATGGTAGCTGTCCAGAATTGTTGATACCAAGTATTTGGTACAGGATCTAATGCTGGACAAGTTCTATGTAAACTCATTAAAAAACCCTTTCCTTGATTTCCTAATGCCTTCATTATCTGGTAGGAGTGTATGACACTAAATGGTCCATGAAACAAGAAGTTACAACCATCCCTGTCATATCCTTGTATATTAAACCCATAACGATCTGTTCCTATAGCTGATAGACCTACATTAATAACAATATATACACATTATGAAGGATCCATAACAAAAGAAATCTCCATTCCATTCATAAATAAACACAAGAAATCATTGTTTATATCACATTACATTTTCTTTTTGCGAATTTTCCATGCTGTTATCAAACCTATATGATTTTGGCGCCTACATGATGTTCACTTACCATGTATATCTAAACAATTAGAATCATAACCAGTTTGGCTAAATCTATCTGAGTTATCAATATTACCATTCCTATCTCTACCATTAATATCAAAACCATAAATATCATAACCTTCTCTATCTCTACCATATCTATTATAACCTAACCTATCATAACCTTCTATATCATAACCATCAATATTATAACCTAAAATTTTACCACATTATATAAAAACAGGAAAAGTTAATACAATATAATAAGATAATTAAAGAAAACACCACTTAACATCAATATTCTATACGAAATTTGATTGATAAAACTTTATGTTGAAAAATTCCCTACTCAAAATAGCATTTCAAATTTGTTACAATCTCTTATTTTCAAATCTAAGGGAAAAAAGGCCAAACTAAAGAAACAATAAAGCTTTGAAAAATTCTACATACCATCTTGTTTAAATCCATATCTATTAAACCTCTGAATATCAATATCAGTTACATCATAACCAAACTGATTTAATCTATTCTGATTATCTATAACTTCAGGACTCTGATCACCACGCTGTACTCCTGGTCTTTCAGTTGGTCTGCTCACAGTTTCATTACAGATATGACCTTTAGATGGTGGTGTATAAGTGACACATAGTGCATCAGAATCCAATACTTCAGACGGTAAAACATTGAATGGTATTAATGGAATACTTCCAAATACAGCAGGAAATTTAAACTTATTATCTTGACGTTGTTGCCAGGTCCAATATAACATGTCAATGTAAGCATGAATGGAATAAAATACTGGATCATAAGGAGCAGATGTGGTTGCCATGTCACCACCTACATAGTTATGAATATAGGCAGCATATGTCTCGAGACATAAACTCATTTCACTGTAATCATCTGAAGCTAGAGCTAATGCCAGTTCTATAGCTGAAGGTAATTTAACACTGGTATTAAAATTTCTCATAATACAGGGCTTCCAGGGAGTAGGTCCACCAAAAGGATGATCTATTACACAACCATTCTGTTCTCCATTACCACCAAAATAATCCGTCTGCCAGACCATAGCTTGACTAAAAGCACCAACATCCGTAGAGAAATCTATATATGGTAGTACAACATCACAATCTATTTCTTGTAATCTCTGTTCCATGCGTCTTAGAAACAAGCGATTCCAAGGTAAATAAAACTGTCCACCATTAGAATGCATGCTGTGTTTCATGTATAAGTCACGGAAATCATCCCAAATACTTATATCACCAAAATTCTTCAACTGTAAAACTGCATTCTGAAATCTTGCAAATTCTTCCCTACTCATATCTCTCATTTCTTTTCTTACTGTCATCCTCTCACATCTACAATATCAAATCATATTTGAACAAATTTTCCAATAAATTTGATCTTAATGTAATTTTTGGGAATGCACAAGCTTGTTTCGACTTATTTTGATCTAATTTTGAAATTCTTCTTAATTACTGACACGTGAAATCACATACATGTATTCAAATTGTGAGGTTAGAACTCTAGAATTAGAAAGTTCATGATCAACTGTAAAATCAATGGATCAACGTAGTTGTATGAATCTTGGAACATGCGTGACTAACCTACAAGTAACTGCTCCAGTGTTTAAACATGTACAAGATTGACATCCCAATCTTAAATCATCTCCAGCATTCATTGTATCTAAACATCCTTTATCTTTCAAACATCCAGCCTCTTCACAGGTCATACCAGGTACAAAACTTATTACTTCTGATTCTACTTCATTATCCGTATTCTGACGATGTAATCTTTGACAAGATAGTAGGTCCATAGACTAAAATATTACAATCACAATAACTCTGGTAACTTACAGAACGTGATCAGGCTTTTTTTGATAGAAGTATAATTATAGTATCATTATATGAAAATAATTTGCATTGTCTTTCACAGATTGGAGGTAACATGCATTTAAAAATAGGTAAACACCATTTCAATTTCTGACATTTTATTGCATATTCTTGTTACTTTTGGCTACAAAATGAAAGGAAATTATACTACCTGACAGAATGTTTGGACAGTTTGTAAGTCTTGTAATATATCTGGTACTATAATAGAATACGTTCTATAACAGCAGGCACCTTTCATAGTAATACCATGACATTCTTCTTCTGATCTAAAATTGTTAGCATTTCCACCACAACCTAGAGGATATATCATAAGTAAAATAAGGAACATGAAAACTAATTTGATAAAGTAAATCACTGTCCCATCTATTCATTGTTAAGGGGGTATGCTCAATGCTCAAATAGCTAATCTACATTAATAAATGGAAAGGAATTCCTTATTCTTCGTTAACAATTCAAACATTAAATATTCTACATCACATCTGAGTATGTATTTTTAGACATTTCATAAGTTGATTTTATGAGATGATTAAGAAAAGATTACGTGTTCCAATTTCCACAAAAGATGAGAACTCCAGTCCAGCATGTTCACATTATCTCATGTATATAATTCCATGCAAATACATGTTAATAATGAATAAAAGATCTACCTGTAAAATTAAATGGTAAACAATGTTGATTATGTTTATCATAATAATATCGAGGTACTAATTCATCACAGGTACCACTATCAGGAGGCAAGGCACAAGGGTTCTGTCGATTCTGACAATTACTCCCATCATAGGGTGATTGACATTGACAGGTAAAATCACTGCCTTCTTCACCAGATATATTAACATCAATACATTCTCCATTATTAGAACATGGATTGGTCAAACATGGTGCTGAAAGATATCATTTAATAATTGCTGGTGATAGAATATGGTCAACAATAGGACAATTTAATGGTCCTTTTTGTCTAACTAGCAAATAGATCTCAATACCAATTACCAACAACACTTGAAGCATCAAAGTCTATGTTCAATGTATGGCTGATCAGGCCTTAAAGATATGATATTGATCTGTAACTTACTGGCACAACTTGGAATATCTATTCTTCTGGAGCAAGAAGGTCTTCCACCCTATAATGGAACGAGAGCAATTTCAAATCATTATTTGGGGAAAATATTGAAATGCTATAAACACTTTCAAACCATAATCAGCAGTCTACTCTTCATCATTTTTAATGTACATACAATCCTTTGCACAAAATGTAGTAAAAATCATTTGTTAAAAAGAAATGGCAAAACAGCCACACTTACCAAACATTGACAAAAGATACATAAATCAGGAGACCAAACACCACCCTCTGGTACAACACTTCCATTATGGGTACAAGATGGCCGACATTCACAAGTTTCTAATACTGAGATTCGATTGCTTAATCTCTTATTCTATAATAATTAAATAGAAATGAATGATTATAATGAAATTGTGGAAGGAAGTGATGGAGTCCAAAGCACTGTAGCTAACTTATCAAGATCTATAATCAGCTCAATTACTGAGATACTGAATTACTTCATTTGACTGATCCAAAATTATCGAAAGTGATTGATTGAGATCTATGATACTGGTAACTGGAACCAGTTGATTGAGATTTAAAATTAATTTAGCTGCGTTATTGAAATCCAATACTACTGTAGCTGTCATGTTGAGAACCAGAATTTGCCACAGATATCTTAATGACTTGAAACACAGAATAACTGTCGCTGATGATTGAGATTTAGAACAACTGCAACCGACTACCGGTAATTGAGATTTAGAACTACTTTGGACAGATTGAGAATAACAGCTACTGCAGATTAATGATCAAGAATACCCTAACCAAATGTTCATGCTCAATAATCATAGCAGCTGACTGACAGAGATTCAAAATTACTAGAACTGATTAACTTATATTTGAATTAGCTCAATGACTAAGATGGATAATAATAAAATCATTCTCACCTCATCTTTCATCATATTCACCATAACATTTAACTGTGTAATCTGTTGTTCTAATAGTAATATTCTATCTTCAAATGGTGTTCCAATACCTAATATTATACCCCCTTCATCTGATTGTAACTCATTTTCTACAATATCAAAATATGAATTCCAAATCTTTGGCATTTACTATGAATGAATTCTAGATGTCTACATATCACCACCTTCAGCCTCCATAACTGACAAGGGAAAATCTGAATGTATTTTTACCCCTGATGGGATTAATCCCTGGATTCTCAGAATAACAAGCAGCTGGTAGCCTATGTAATTGACTGGACCTCATCTTTCAACAATAATATGTATATTTTCAGGGAAAATACATCTGCAGATTTTAAAGCATCTGACATTTAAAGAGTACGAAGTAATGTAATCAACATTTACAGTCATATTAAGGTCAAGGGCTTCATCAAAACTATCAGAAGTACTGAAATTTGGTCACTCAGAATTTTTTCATTCCAAATTAAATTCAAATATGAAAAGATATTACCATGTTTATTTGTGCATTTATTTGTTTCTGCTGATAGGTATAAGCTTGCTTCATAAAGCATCCCCTACAAAATAAGTATACATAAATATCTTTCAAATCAATCCACAACTTATGTTCACATAAAACATGTTAAACTCATATAAAATTCACACTGGGCTCTGTCCAGGTGTTGCAAGATTTAAATATAGCTTGTCAGGCCAGGTAACATACGCCCACAGATAGCTTTGATTGTAAGTATTATGAAATTCGATATATTTACCATCTTCATAATGACATTGACATACAAAATAAAAATCAAAAGAATCTAAGAATGTAAAGAATTGTAGCTTGTAGAGTGAGCACAAGTTGCACAATATAGCTAATAGAGTAAAATTTCAAGTCAGACAGTATATTGGTGAAAAATTATATGATCATCACAAAAATCGATAGGGATCATCTTCATAATGACATTGACACACAAACTCAAAATCAAAAGAATCTGTAAAGAATTGTTGCCTGTAGAATGAGCACGAGTTGCACAATATAGCCAATAGAGTAAAACGTCAAGTCAGACACGATATTTCGGTGAAAAATTATCCGATTATCACGAAAATCAATAGGGATCATCTTCATAATAACATTGGCGCACAAAATAAAAATCAAAAGAATCTGTAAAGAACTGTAGCCTGTAGAGTGAGCAAGAGCCAAATATGAATGGACGGACGGACGGACCGACCGACGGACCGACGGGGTGATTACAATATACGCCCATCTTATGTGTGGGCGTATAAAAATTGAATTTCAAGGCATTTATAGTTCACAGGAAGTGAAGATTTTTCCTTTATCAAAGTCGAGGTTTAAGATCCATAATAAAGACTTCTGAAACATTTCAAAGTTAGAACTATTTCTATGGTCCATTAACAAATAAGGTCTTTGGGTTCTGTTTTTATAATGGAAAACTAGAATTAAACAACTATGAAAACTTAGATTTGATGTATGAACCATTATTGAACATCACACACACATCAACTTTTGACTAAAGGATGACTAAATGTCTTTTATAATTATCAGCTCTGTTGTTTTCAATAAACTATATTTCACCTGGAATGTATGTTTTCTATCAGAAGAAACTCCAAACCATATTTCAGATCCAGAATCTTCTAAAATCAATTCTTGTGGTAAAATTCTTGATAATTCTTCTCCACAATCAACTTGTACTTTTAATTCAGTGCCATTTATCTTTATTAATAATTTTCTCCATTCCCACGAGGGTAGAAAATTTGATAAAGTTATTCGTTGAAGAGACTGATCTCCTAAATATTTGATGATTAAATTATTGTCTTTAATGTCTAATAAAATCTCTAGATACGGGAGTCTATATTTGTTATTAGTTATTGTTATTATTGGTAATGTTATATTATCAAACAGACTTCCTGCTATATATAGACTGAGTTCTCCTGAATATTCACTTAATACATGTCTTGTTAATGTATCTGGTAGTCGATGACCTATATATCCTGGTGTCAAATGTAAACCACTAAGTAAAACACGTTCTACACCATTCTGTAAATTCAAACCTTTTAATAGATTAATACCTGAAAAAACAATAAATTAAACATCATATTAATCTAAAAATTCGGAATAAAAGAAAGAAATAAAAAGAATTTTCACAATAATGAAGAATTAGATTCCAGATGACCCTGTCTACCAGCTGGTTCTTAATGCCTAGTTCACACCAACAGCGAATGCCGAGCTTTAAATCGGCGAGCAAAGCGCCATCATTTTTTGTTCACTTTTCAAAAAATATCACGATCTAAGTAATGTTACGCTCTGATAAGCTCTGATACGAATCGGTTACACTTTGGGGACAAATTATTTCCCGATTTGATCATGCCTTGTTACGCTATAAATCACGCTTTGATAAGCTTTATTAAGCTTTGATGCGGTTATGACGCTTTAAATCACGCTCTGATACGATTATCAAGCTCTGTTGTGCATTGTTAAGCTCTGTTACGCATTGGAAAATTACAAAATGGCCTATTTCATGCCGCTTTTGATCAACTGGTGACAGACCGTGAAGACTGGGGTCCCCGCTTTGAATAAAGCTCTGTTAAGCTTTCCTACGCTTTGAGTCAAGCTTTACTGAACTTTGTTTCGCTTTGTTAAGCTTTGATACGTTCTCGGCGCTTTAATCAATTCGTGACAGAGCGCCCAAAATTTTTAAACAGTTTCAAAAATTTCGGCGCTCTTGCCGAATATCCAGCTTTGCTCAAAGCTTTCCAACGATCTATTACGACCTTGGCACTTTGGTCGAGCTTTGTTACGCTTTGGTACCGCTTTGTACGCCGCTTTAAAGCGCCATCAAAGCGCCGTTGGTGTGAACTGAGCATAAGCAAACATGATTTTTTCTCTGGATATCTGTACCCTTCTACAGATGGGTAGAGTGAGATAATTCTCAAAGATGACTTATTTAAGGTGATCACACTTTAGCACAACAACTGAGACCTTTTTAGGAGCAAATGATTTTTTGACGCACACTCTTAATGTGCCACAACCTCTAAAATGAGGTATTTAACAGCCTTTCAGATATAGTTTCAATGGCCTATTACATTAAAAGGAGTCACCTATCTGCTTCACCAGTTGATTGAATGATACAATTTCAGATATCTGTATTACTTTTCATAATTACATGTACTTCACAGTAAGATTACATTTTTGTTTTATCATAGGAGCAGGTGGCAAGATTTAAACTTTGTAAAGTGATATGGATAGCTGAAATCCAACAGCTATTAGGGTTAATATTTAGACAAATAAATTCCTAAACTTTATGGATGCAGAATTAATGCGAGTATTACAATATATTTGATTGAATCAATGATCTCAAGTGCAAGTAAATGTTGATGTGAATTTCATTTTGTACAATTATGTAAAAGTAACATCATAAATTTTCTAGGTTAAGAAAGTCTTAAATAAATTTTCACTGAATAGAAAATTTAGCTAATGCTGATTCGGTACAAAAGTGTGTTAGGTTCTAAAATCACTTTGATTGACATTAGATGTTTTTTCATTTAAAAATAAAGAATCAAGTTCCAATTTTTTTCTGGGAAATCAAAACCACTATCAGATCTATCACACTTCTATTCACTTGTCTTTTATAAGTGAAAGATTTGTCAAATAGATAAAACATGCCACTAGATTAATATAACAGATTATAAATGTGAAACATATGGTTTTAATAATTATCAAATCTTTTCATTAATTCTTTCAATTATTACCATGTGCTAAG